ATCTCCGAAGTCTTAGCAAGAATCCTCCTGAAAACAGTAAACCCTGCCATCACATAGTCTCTCTGTTTAAATACACAAAGCACAGAGAGTGAACACTGAAACAACCTGCCTCATTCCAGTTTATATTTGTCCAACCTATTTTTATGTTACCCAAGTAATAGCTTTTATATCCTTTTACTCATGTACGAATTAATTGCTCTACCATATTGTATTACTTTTGTCACTACCACTACTACTACTACTACTACTACTACTACCACTAGTGAACATCGAAATGGTACCTCACTAGTATTCACCTCACTCTGAGCCTTTATATACCCTCTGTGTCCATGTATTGTTTGTAATGGCTTGATAAAGCTCCTGGAGAGCGAAACGTTGCCACAATAAATGTCACATTAGTTGCACTTGTGTCCTTTTACTTTACATATTGTCGGTAATTCTACCAACTTTATTACCACTACATACATACTTACGTGAATCAGGGTTCTCAAGTTTAGTAGCAATGAAGACAAAGGCCAGGAACCAATTGAAAGCCGATGACAATGAGAGTAGCATTGTCATCAACAGCTCCTTGCAGCAGTGTTCCCACTGATAATGTTTCTGGTGTTTCTGTTTGGTTTTATTTTTTGTGATAAAATGGACTTTATAACTATTTCTGTTTTTCTGTCCCTTTATGATGGTGATCAACTTTTTGTATGGAAGTAAGGGAGTAAATGGAGAAATACATCAAGCCGAGGGGGTTAATGATGGAGGAAAAGTTGAGAATCCCTGCCCTAGATCAATTATTATTATTATAATCAAGGGGGAAGCGCTAAACCCGGACGATTATACAGCGACTGGGGGGGGATGTGGAAGGCATTCAGGCTTAATTCGGGGAACTGGAGCACAGATCCAATTCCCTAAATCAAGAGCCCCTCACCAACATCAAGGAACCTTCCTTGAGGGGGCCCTAGATCAAGAGCCCCTCACCAGCGTCAAGGAACTTCCCTAGAGGGGTGTGTGTGTGTGAGAGAGAGAATGTAAGCTTTTTAAAAATAAATTCAGTTATTATTGCTACTATTATTATCATCAATGAAATGGCACTTGTAGGTTTGTTGTTTAAATTATGGGAGGTGAGGAGCCATCTGTTGGCAGAAATAAATCAACAGCAAGTCTTTATCTATATCTTGAGCAAGAGACCCCTCAAGGGAGGTTCCTTGATGCTGGTGAGGGGGCTCTTGATCTAGGGAATTAGATCTGCACTCCAGTTCCCTGAATTGAGCCTGAATGCCTTCCATCCCCCCCCCACATGCGCCGTATAATCCTCTGGGTTTAGCGCTCCCCCATGATTATAATAATAATAATAATTGAGCAAGAGAATGTAAATGTTAGATCCAGCCAATGGGAGCAGAGTAACCATCAACTTAACAGATTTTCAAGCTCTTCACTCTGATGACATGACGTCAGCTTGGTTGTTCGGTCTAGCAACCCAGCTTATGTCTTACTGTATCATTTCATTTGCCATCCACAAGTTTTTTTGCCTGTGTGTGGCTGACCAGTTAGTTAAATGGTCCAAGTTGCATCGAAACATCATCATAAGTTTCCTTCTCCTGTGTGCAGGTTATTTGTGTATTGTTCCACTTAGGTTATTGTGCCTTTTATTCTTTCCACTGTGAAATTTAATTGTAACTAAGAAGTCAGTCACAGTTTTTAAATAGTTTGCAGGGAGACAATTAAAGGACTGCAGATTCAAAACGGCTGCGTTTATGTAAAAACCTCTCTTCCATGATGATAGTTTACGTTCATTCCACTTCATCAACCGGTAGTGATTGTTCCAGTGAATAATGCAAGAATTTTTAACATTGTATATATAAACAAACAGATGTAGACATAGGTACATGGATAGATGTAGACATAGGTCCATGGAGATATTAATAGAGACATAGGTACATGGAGATATTAATATACATAGGTATATGGAGAGATAATTGGTTAAGTGGGTAAATTATAATATTTTTATATAATAGTGAAGTGCTAAACCTATGTAGATAGTTCAGAGCAATGGGGGGTCTACCCTCCGTCCTTGTATCAGAATGGGAACTTTCTCCATCCTTGCATCGGAGTGGAAGCTTAATCCTCTGTTCCTGTTACAGAGTGGAGGCTTTGTTTCCATCCTCGTATTGGACAGTCCTGACCAGTCTAACTCTTCACTACCACTGTACAGGTAGTACCTGTCGATGTACATAGACTATTATAATCATACCTAAGTGCTAAACCCATAAGGGTCATACAGCACTGGATGCTACATAGAGACTACCACCACCACTGTACTGGCAGTACCTAATGATATTACAGGTAGTTCTGCGTGTACTGAGAATGTTTCGCAGGTTTCCTTCTGTAATTGTGAATGCAGAAGTATTCCGGTTTCTTATGCATTTGACAGAATTCCACTATCAAGGAATTCAGCATTACAGTCTCTTATAGCACCATTGAGCTTGTCCTCTCTTTGCTACTGTATCAGCTCCTACCTCCAGATCTATAAGAAAATATGTACACCTAGAAGTGTTTATCCCATGGTGAATATACACTGGGAATTTACTTTAATCAGTACTATAGTGGTTAAAGTATTCTTCTCGGGTGAACAATGGGTTATCCTAGGTAATCTACACATATGCTGCTAAGTATGATAATTTATGTAACTGTATTTGTGTATGCCTGTATCTGAATAAACTTAACAGATTACAAGCATCCTTAATGACCCTCATGTAAACAGGTTACAAACATCATTAATGACCCTCGTGTAGTCGATAATCCTTGAACCTCATTAGCCAGCTAGTATGCTGACTTGAAAAATTTCTTGTACTGTACACACAAAACTTTCATTTGTCTATAGCTCCCAACACTGCAGTTTGGGGTTTTTTATTGTACGAGTATCAAAAGTATTAAAATGCAGTACTTACAAACAATATTTGTTTGCTTATTATTACTGAAGGTGTTATGTGTGCAGTGGTGTACCTAAGGTATGGCACGTGCCCTGGGCGCTACTTGAAGCAGGAAGCCACTAAGCAGTTTCTGTTAAGGTCAGATAAGCTATCCTCAGATAGTAAACAAAATTTTTCTTCAGATGTATGATCTGTCTTTCATTATCATGGGTGAGAAGCACAAGGATGGCTAGATTGTTCAACCACATATATAAATTAAGTAAAAATACAGTGCTGGAGTTGCAGTACCACTGCTCAGTGCCATTGTATCTCCATGCTTATAGGAACTAGGCCTTTTGTGTATCCATATGCTCTTGCACTACAGGATGGATATGGGGTGCACAATAAACTAACCACTTCAAAGGCAAAATCTAATCTAATCCTCCTTGTTTGCACAGGAGAGTGGTTTTACTGCCAGTTGGCACTGAGTAGTGGTAATGTGAGGTATGTGGTCATGTAGCTCCAGCACTATTATTATTTAATTTATATAACTAGGAAGGCAGTCCAGAATTTTGTGCAAAATCTGTGAAATTTAATGTTCTTATTAGAAGTGCCATTTCCTTATTTCAGAGCATTGTGTAAGAAGATCATGAAACTTTTCTTCACAAAGAAAGAAAGTGGAGCTGAAGGAAAACTAAGCATCAAACTCTTGTCAGAGGATTTGGAACCACTGGTGTACAGAGCAGTAGTGGAATACTCTGATGAATTATCATTACTATTGTGGTGGATGTAGACCTGAAGTTGGTACTTGAGAAGGAAGGTAATGGGACAGAGATACTACGTCCCAGAAATCTTTCACATAAATATAACAGCAAATGTTAAGTCTACTACAAATAAAAACTTTATATTTACTTATTTTCACAATGCAACAGATTAATAAAAAAAAAAAAAAAAATAAATCTCTCCAAGTGGAGTAACATTATTAGAATTATGGGACAGCGCTGTATAGCCCTTGTGGCTTAGCGCTTCTTTTTTATTATAATAATAATAGAATTATGGGGGTCACATTTTTATGGCAAAAATTGCTGGCGAGTGGGAGAGAGCAGCTTTTCAGTATTAAATGCATTTAAAATGCCTGATAACATGTTTACACTATCATATATTAAGTGCTCAATACAGCTAGGCATACAAAAACAGATATAAAAAGTAAAATAAATACATGGTACATACAATACTTACCTTAATATATGGCACCAGTCACCCTTCCTTCATGCAACTGAGGTGTGAAAATGGCAGAAAAGTGGAAAAAGACCCAACAAGAACAAGGGTTCACTTGAAAACAAATGAAAAAATGGAACACTGAAAAGTGAGTGCCAAATATGCATTATTATTATTATTATAATCAAGGGGAAAGCGCTAAACCCATAGGATTATACAGCGCCTGTGGGGGGGGATGTGGAAGGTATTCAGGGAACTGGAGCACAGATCCAATTCCCTGAATCAAGAGCCCCTCACCAGCATCAAGGAGCCTTCCTTGAGGGGCCAAATATGCAGGGCCCTCCTGTATATGTTATCCAGCACTATAAGGAGTAAGTGAGAGACAGCTGTAATAGTAAGAGAATGGGAGTTCAGAGTGAGTGTAATAAATTGGAGGCCACTTAGAAATAATAAAAAAATTATTATATTTGAGGAAAAGTGCTGAACCTGTAAGGTTCATAAAGCTACTCTGTGCAGAGGTTTACAAAGTTGGCAGAAGGGAAAGGAGTGAGAAATTTTGAGGAGGATCTCGCCAGAAAGAAGGGTCAGTGAGGTAGAAAACTGCAAGTAGACAAGTAGTCATGGAACATACCTATACAAAGGAAGGGAATATTTTAGAGGATCTTGTTTTATGAGGGCAGCAGTGGTGGTGGCAATATCAGCAATAGCATATTAGTAGGAATAATTTCAGTGACAGCAGCATCAGTGGTAGAGGCACAAGGCCAAATCTAATTTTCTTCTTCAGTTTTTCATATAAAGTTGAGATGATTTATAGTCTTAATATGATATTTTTTACAAGTTTCTGCATTGCAATCAGGAATCTTCAATGAATATACATACACAAATACATCTCGGTTTATTGAGAACATTTTGAGTGACTATTTTTACAAGAAAATTCTTGGAAGGAACTTGGTTGTCAGGATTTAGTGGCTGAGAAATATAATGTGACCCAATCATAAGTAATACAAAAAACTAAGTGTTGTAGTTATGCATGTTGTTACAAATGTCTCACTTGTATAAAAACAAGTGTACATAGGGCAATAATTGCACTACCTGTGAATATTTCTTGGCCCATATGAATATGGTTCTTTGCTGTGCACAGTTTAGGTGATAATAAATTAGATGAATGAGTATGCAAGAAGAAACTATTTAATCTTTGACCTTGCAATCTTGTTTTTTTTTTTTTTGCATGGCTTTAGTTTTTTTCCTCATTGTACATCATCTAACAACAATACACATATAGGTATCTTTTGAAGTTTAAAAACTGTGGAGTGGAAACTAAAGTATGATGAACAAAAATAGATATACAGACAAAGGAATAAATGAACAAATACTGTTATATAAAAGCAATCCAGAATAGCCTTACCACTTTTGTACTGATTGTAATGATTATTGTTATGAATGAAAGACAGCTGGAAATCCAGCACCAAGTGAAATAAAGTTAAAAGGGTGGAAAAGTGTGAAGGGGGTAAGAGCTTAAGCATCAGAAGACACGTGGGGCTGTGTTACATTAGAGTAAGTGCCAACAAGTGTTCTTGGGATTTGACATGATGCTGGAGGCAATCAGGGAATGGTTATCTATACTTGAGTTCTGGAGGTGGAAAGAAATGCCAGCAACTTGAAAGATAGGTGAGAATGCTATGATTCCAGTCCTTGTGTCCTTGCACTACTGAAATGAAAGCTAATGAGCAAGTGATAGTGAATGTTTTTCTTTGTGGCAAATTACTGGTGTCAGGAAAAAATTATTCAACATCCCTGTCATGTATGCTAAAATACACACATGGCATAATGTGTGTAGCTTCATACATATTTCATGCTTCTGAATATTGTTAATTTTTTAAGACAGTATATAATTTTTGTTCTCCATGGGGAAGTGGAACAGAATTCCTCCTCCGTAAGCCATGCATGTCATAAGAGGCGACTAAATTGCCAGGAGCAAGGGGCTAGTAACCCCTTCTCCTGTATACATTACTAAATTTAAAAAGAGAGACTTTCGTTTTTCTTTTTGGACCACCCTACTTTGGTGGGATAAGGCTGGTTTGTTGAAAGAAGAAGAAGTAGAAATGATTTTAGTATTTCCGAAATACTTCAACACTGTACGTTACATTAATTATTTTAGCAATTAATAGTTGTTTGTAATGTAATATTTAATGTTCAGCATTAAATACCAACACCCCAGCCACTTAATTCTACAAACCACATACCAGACACAACTGTACAAAATGAGCATTGAATTCTATCAATCATTTATAAAGTTATTGAAAATTAAATTTTATTTACATGGCAAGTGGTATTAAAAATTTGATCTTACAAAGATTAAAATTGGTAATTGTTTGAGCATTTATACAAAATGCATATTCTTTCATATTAAATGTGTTCATGGGAATTCCTCCATAAGTTAAAATGACTGAAAACATATATTGCAAACTTGTACATTTTTCAATTTAGAATATTTTGGCCTTCATTTTTTAAGAGATGAATTTTTCAATCAATGTAACTCAAAAATAGTCTGCCAGATAACAGCCAATGCATTTAATAGAACTACTATACTGGAAACAAATACATATATGCATTGCTATTTGCAAGAATACAATACTAAACAATTTATCATTGTATTTACTGAATTAATTCAAGTCAGTTCAAGTCTCAATGGTGTACTTCAGTCATATATTGACAGTTGTTATTTCACATTACACTTATTAATAAAGTAAAAATATAAATGAATGCATGGATTTGTAGTTATGAGGATGACAAATATGAAAATGACCATGATATAATGAGAATGACAATGACAATGCTAAATTATAAGTTTTAAAACGAGAAATACAGGTATAATGTTTCACTGCACAACTGCTCATCAAAAATTTGTGCAATTAAGAGCTGTCATAATCCAGCTGGAATAATTTCTGTTGTTTACCAGAAACCCCCATACCACATTAAAAAACAATTAAATATTCCATGTATTTCTTTAATAAATTAATAATATCCAACATAAAAAAATCTGTGAAATGTACCATCAAATAAAAACATTTAATTGTATAAAAGTAACCTCTGCATCAGACATTCAATTTTCTCTGTAACAGTTATAGTAATTGTCACACAAAAATTCATATAAAACTAACAATCTACCCCCATTATAGAGAAAGTCTTATTTACTGTCATGAAACAATAGGTCAAATTTGGAAGGATACTTGGGTATGGCTGGGGAAACTTGCATTACAAAAGTTCTTAAAATTACTCTTAACAATAAATGCACATTCAGTCTGTACACAAACACAGTGTACAGACAAGAACACATGTGAAGAGACCAGCAAAAAAAAAGTCTTGGAAATTTCAAGGTTTACACCCAATTGCAAATGTCTTATTCCCATTCAACATCAATCATTATTATATGTTTACTAAAATACTAATAACCACCATAATGTCCATACATTTGGTTAATGAAGTTACAAGACCTGGATTACAATACTGCACTTAGTGAACTGCTGACCAGTGTAATGTAAATAATTTGTAGTGCATCTTCATAAGAGGGTTTCTTCTGCACCTTAGAAAAAAAGATGATAGGTAAATATCCATAACTAACTCTTTGCTGGTCAAATCAAAAAGATTCAGTGTGATTGAGCACAGAGACCGGAAACTGCTACAGCAAGTAACTTTCCAATAACACCAAGTTGGCAGAGTATTAGTCTGTCACTGATCGTAGTACAGTATTATCTCTCTTCCATTTACTTACTCGTTTTGTTAATTTTAATGAAGCAAATAAGGTTACTTCTTTTGTCTTTTGTGTTCCAAGAAAAAAGCACTGAAAAGCTGCACTAATTCTCCACTGTTTATAACCAGAGTACACATGCTGAGTTTATCAAGACAACACTGACTAGGCAACACTAACTCAGCCACCCCTCACAGTATAAAATAATGAGTCATTCATTTTCATCACATATTCATTCCATGTCCAAATGGATAAAAAAGAAAATTATCACCAAGAATGCACTATCACTTGGGAGAAATTATTACAGATTATATCCCCCTGCAATACTTATGCTGTATTCACACCTTGTGTCACCATAAGAGTACATTTTAAAATTAACTGATACTTCTTATGTCTGTAAGTGTAAAGATGGTGTCATGCTGAGCAACTAACCATGAAAGCTATTTTTTTTCTTTTCCATGCATAGATTATTTAATTTCAAAATGACTGTTTTCTAGAAAATGCAAAGGAATCACTTGATTTAAAATATTTTTGTTGCTGCTAATGTTGTTTTTGCATATAAAAGTAAATATTGCAATTAAACTTTATTTGTAAATTAAAAAAAGGTTACTTCTCTAGAAATTAAATTTCAGATTAATACATTAGTCAGTAAAATATATATGTAATATTACCATAAAAAATAATTTTGCATAAAGAAAAAGATTTACATTTTGTTTTGATTATGACTTGATCATAAACAATACATATTACATTGTTTTAAACTTTCTGTACTTTACTTAGTTTTTTGTTAGTTTAATTTAGAGTGATGAGCTTATATTTATAATCAAACTTAAACCCTTATTAGGTAGCAATATTTCACTGACATGGCTAAATAGGAATCAGATTACAGTACATTATACCTTACCCGAACTTCACACTTAAGACATTGTGCAAAATTTTATATTAAGTATACTATATGAGTATTTTTGAAGCCACAAATGAGTCAAAGAACATTCATGGACATAATAAAGCTTTACCTCCTACCATCAAAAATCAAAATAATTATACACAGTAGTAATTCAATATGAAACCAACATTTACCAGAAAGTAATTTTCCTTCTTAATTGTTCCAATTCTTAATTCATAATTCTAATGCATTCTTACCTTGCATTAGTTCATCTAAAGTTGCCCAGTGTGACACCAACTTATTATGAGATGAAGACAATTGATAACTGAGGAGAATTGGAAGCACCACAGTTCACCACCCTATAGACTGCTTTTCTAAATTCAACTCAGTTTTTTCTTTGCACTCCAAAATTTTTACAAATGCTGTACATATTCATTTTTCTATTAATAAAATCACACAGAGTTCACTATGAAGTTCACCCTATGCCATTCTTAGTTTCATGAAGAAATGCTTTATTATCATTCAGTATATGCCAAGCAGCACATCACTTAAGGTCTTTAAATGGCCAGATGAAATGTAATAATTCAGAGGCCCTTGAAGTAATAATAAAAAAATAATAATATACAAAATATAAAAAGTATTTCATGCTTTGAACTCTATGTATATAATCTTGTCACACACTGCTAAAGTACACACGTGGTCGCATTTTATACAATGCTGAGGATTCCACTTTTAGGAGAAAAAACACAAGAGGGGTGATGAAGACAGACCTCAGCAATTGAACTGGTTTGCTGTGATGGCTGAGAGATCCTTCATAAGTCCTTCAAGATTGGCCATTTCCTGAGATAATTCTTCTGTTGAATAACCATGAAGAAGGGCTTCATTTGCCTCCTGTAAATAGCACAATGACGTTTACCCACAAGCTGATTAGTACGTATTGACAAATAATTTTGACAATATCATGTTAACTATACAGTACTTATATTTCCTGGAAAACAGTGTACATGTATGAATATATTAATGGATGAAAATTAGAGGTAACCTCCAGTGTCTTACCTCATGTTCAGGTAAAGAATCAACACGCATTGTGGGACCCGCCCAACGGCCTGATGGTCCACTTGGACCAGCACTACCTGACATGCCAGAAGATCCAGGAGTTAAAGATTTCTTGAAAGGACTTGTTACTCCCTGAGGACGTACTGCAACTGTCAAGACAGAAACATATGTATATATACAATTTTCTTCAGGAAAAAAATGAACAAATGATTTTAGTCAGAAGCAAAAGCACGAAAATATACAAAATGAAGGAATGAGAGAAAGTAAAAGGAAGTGAGAGAAAACAGGAGTGAGGAAAGTTAAGAATTGAGTGAGAATGCTGTCAAATGCATGACATTAACAAAATTGTAGATAATGATGATTCTGTCATTGTTAGACACCCTTTTGTTTTCCTAAATGCACCATATTTTTCTTGTTACAATTAGATACATTTTCTCAACATTATTCTAGCATGCTTACTGATTATTGATTCTAATTCACAGAAGCTATACAGCCAACCAGAATGTATATCAGTTGGTCAGTACTTCAGAGACAGATTTTTGCATGTTTCATCAAACTAAGAATGCAAAGAATGAAGGAAAATTAACTATAATTTAATAGGAATAAATTAACTTACCAATATGTTTAGGCTGAGGTGTAGTGGGAGCAGACTGAGGTGGTGCTGGGACACTGAAACTGCGAAGAGGATTACCAGACCGCTTGCCCAGTGTATTACTTCCTTCACCATTTACAGAACTGAAAGATATTTATCAAACTTTTTACCTGCATAACTTATTAAAAATTAAATGCAACCCTTCATCTAATATTTAATATAAAAATACTTTTCTGCACACCTAATAACCACCATTTTAAAAAAATTCTGCTACTTCAGTGGAAAACATCAACATTCATTAACTATATATGGTAATCTTAAATGCTGAGAGTCCCAGCTTTTTTTTTAATTACTGTATTTCAGTAATCACTTATTGAGAATTAACTTTAATAATAGGGCTCAAAGTGGGCGAAATCGCTGATGTATAAACTTCGTTGAGACCACTAACTTCGCCAGAGCCTAATTCCGCAAGTTTTCCATCAAATTTTATACTTTTGGTGTCATTGTGATCAGGAAAAGATTCTCTATCATTTCATAAGAAAAATAATTATTTTTTTCGAAAACTTTCTGACCCTGAGAACAAGTTTAGGAGAGGGCCTGCCGACCCTGAAAGGGTTAAGGAATGAAAAATTGTGAACGTGTTTCCTTCTTTGGTTAACCAGACATTGATGGGGAAACAGAACTTTAAATCTGGCTAACCAGCAACCCTGAAAACCTTCATAAATGTTATATTGCTAACACTTTGACTCTACACTCTCTCCAACCCTGCCTGGGATATTCCCTACCCCTCCTTCCATCCAAATTGGATTTGTACACACTCTTAGTCAGCAGACTCTGCTCTCTTCTTTTAAAATGACCAAACTATCTCAAGAGCCCCTCATATGTTCTCTGAATTACATACACCTTTCATACCACCATACTGTCTTCCAATTTCTAAGCTCCTTATTCTCTCCATTATATTCACAACACACAAGCCTAAATATTCCAAGACCCTGTCTCACATTCAAATAAAAGTACAGGTACAGCAATGATTAACTTCTTTCCACATACACCTCTACATTCCACCTTTTTATCCCCCTTGTTTTTTCTATGAACCTAGGCTTTCACAGATATATTTGCCAACACAACCACTCCATATCTAAACACAGTAGAACCCCCCATATCCATGGATTCAATATCAGCTGTATCAGTTATCCACAGTTTACCATAGCCCAAAAATAACCCTTAATTCTGCTTACTAATGGCCCCAAAGTGCAAAAGTAGTGATGCTGGCAGCTCTTCAAAGCCTAAGAGAAGCTGTGAAATGCTTCCCATAAGCAAAAAAGTGCTAATTCTAGAATTATTTTGCATAACTTATCAATTAAACTTTATCACAGGTACATATGTAAATTAAAAAAGACTTATATATAGGGTTCACTACTATCCACAGCAGTGGCGTCATAGGGGGGGGGGGCGAGGAGAGCGAGCTACCCCAGATAACACCATCAAGGGGTGACACCATAGTGCAAATGGAGGATGGAAGAGTTCAAGTGAAGGAAATTTTTCTTGGTTTTTTTCCCTTTGAAGGGCAAAAAAGCTGCTGATATCAGTTCTGATATCCTGAAAAAGCTGAAAAGTGATGGACTGGACTTCATGCTGTGCCATGCTCAAGGATATGACAATGCTGCCACCATGCCTGGGGTACATGGAGGTATACAACCATTCTCAAGGAAAAGAACAAGAAGACAATTTTCAGCAGTTGTGTGGACCATTCATTGAACTTGTGTGGTCAGCATTCTTTTGCCGAGAATTCATCGTGTGAAATTTTTTGGCAGTCTTGAGTTAACGTACACATTCACTGCCTCCTCCGCCCATCGATGGGATGTATTAATGGGCCATACTGCAGTCTCTTTGAAAAGATTATCAACAACAAGATGGAGTTCTCATTACAGTGCAGTGAAATCAGTAGCGGAATAGTTTGAGAAATTTGTAGCAGCAACTGAAGCTCTTTGTGGTCCACGGGAAAATTTGGATACAAGAGGAGCAGCGCAAGGTCTTCTTCCTGCTGCGTGCGATTTCACATTTTTGTGTTTCTGTATTTCTGGTGTGACATACTTCAGGAGGTTCAGCTTGTACAGCAGTACTTGCAGACTAAGGATTTAACTCCTGACAAAGTGGTGGTGAAGCTAGAGGCACTGCAATTATTTTTGTATGAAGGGAAAGATTGCATAGTGGAGAATTCAATACAGCAGGCACTTTTGAAATGTGAGGAGTGTGGATTTTCAACAGAGAGAAGAATCAGGTTAAAGAAGAGGATGGCAGGGGAGCAGGCAAGAAATTCCGGACTCACTCTGCAGGAAGAAAATAAGAGGGCGATGTTGGAGTGCATTGATCATTTTCATAATGAACTCGAGATGCGATCAAAAGGAATCAAGGATGTGGCAGCCATGTTTAGGGTCATTTAAACAAAGAATCTTGTGCAAGCTACTAAAGAAGAATTGGAGGTGATGGCTTCAAGATTCACAGCCTTCTATAATGAAATATGCAAGTATGAGCTCATGCTTGAGATACCAAGACAAAGGAGGCACCTGCAAGCTGCTGATGTTGATCTTGGAAAAGATAAGCACTGGACTGCATTGGATGCACTAACATTCAAAGCTTAATGGGATTTCAGTGAATCTCTTCCAACTTTCACACTGCCTGATATTGTTCCTTACTATATGTGTTTCTGTGGCTTCTTGTGAAAGGAGTTTCTCAAAGTTGAAGCTGATTAAAAACTATTTACGGTCTACAATGAGTCAACCCAGAATCTCTGACTTAGCAATGTTATCCACAGAAAATGGGTCAGTTGACAGCATTGGTTTTGCAGGATTGAAGGCAAGGAAATGTAAGCTCTGATTCTTTGAGATGTTACCTGTACTCAAGGTCAAATAGGAACTAGTATTTCTCTGATACTGCAATGTTTTTCTTTACTTTTTAAGTTTTTTTTGCATTGCTGAAGAAAAATAAATGTAGGATCTGTTGCCTGTACTCAAAGTAGTATTTGAATTTATGTTTCCTCAATATTACTATGATTATTTATTATCATTAATAAAGCTGAGAAGTATTCTCCTGTTTGGTTTATGGCCCTTTTAAATGTTCTCATTGCTAAATATTAGTCACTGGGCATGTAGTAGTGACATAACTGGAGTTTACTCCCCTCCTATCCCCCCACCCTTGGATTTCATGGGGGTGACACCAAAGATGCTGCCCCGGGTGACACCAACCCTAGCAACGCCACTGATCCACGGTTTCGGGTATCCACGGTAAGTCTTGGAATGTATACCCCACAGACATGGGGGACTACTGTACATTAACTCTCTCTCCACTTGCTTTCTTTGATCTGATGTCCACTCTTTCATTGCTAAATTTTTTTTACACAAATCACCTTTCTCATTTCCATCTTCACTATTAACGTCCTCCTAATCTGTCACAGATGTATTCAAGAAACACAGATACCTGTATTGTGAAGGTCCAGGAGGTGCTGCAAGACCTCCCAGAAGTGGTTGTGTAGGTTGAGGAGGTAGAGGCATGCCATCTAGAGGCATATTGCCTGGACCAAGCATTGAAGACATACCGCTACTGTAAGAAAATATTAAAAATAATATGCCTGGATATTTATTTATACAAATTTATTTGGATACATATGCACATTTTTTTTAAACTCAATAGCCATCTGCCAAGGCAGGTTGACTCAAAGAAGAAAACTCCTTTACCAAAGTACATTCAATCGGTCTTTCTAAAAGTGTGCTGACATCACAATCAGATTACTTCCAAACTGCATATATACATATACACATACAATAATGTAAAAACTGACTGCAGAATATATTTCTAAAATAAGAAGTTTACTGATAGGTTGTTATAACTAGAGTGGTTTATAGAATCAAAAAACAGAAAGTTATTGAAGAGATTTCAGAACATTACAAGTTCAAATATTTTAACATACGGTAGGGCCCCACTTACATGGCAGGTTTGGGTCTAAATACATATAAATGCCAGATATCAAATTTACACTAACATATATTAAGTAAGCAATAGAACTAGGCATTAAAAACAATAAAATGCAACATCATACACAGTACACTCATTACTTACCATACAACATTTGTGTCTTAATGTAGGGTGAGACTTGAGTAGTATTTATTGTAAGAGGTTAGGTGTGGTAAGTATGGTAGTCAGGTGTGGTAGATATGGCCACCTGACCCACATGGAATATACATTTAAAGCACCCTAGAGCGACAGAATGCATATACAGTACACTCATTAATTACCTTAAAATATTTGTAGTCTTAGTATAGGGTGAGATGTGAGCAGTATTTATTGTAAGAGGTCAGGTGTGGTATGTACAGCCACCCCACCCAAACTTAATATACATTGAAAGTACCCTAGAGTGATAGAATGCATATACAGTACACTCATTACTTACCTTAACCCTTTCACTGTCAAGACCCCTGCTCGCAAACTTGCTCTCAGTGTCAAAGAGTTTAAAAAAAAAATTCATCTTATGAATGATAGATAATCATTTCCAATGGTAAGGAAACCAAAAGTACAAAATTTAATGGAAAACTTATGGAATTATGCTCTTGCAAAGTTAGTGGTCTTGGGGATATTTACATGTAACATCAGGGATGTGTAAATATCGCTATTTTCGGCCAACTCCATTGTTCCAGTCAATCAAATTCATAGCTACTTTGCTAGAACTCCTTTTGTTCTATCGATTGAGTACAAGAAACCACCTATTTACCTATTTCAACTACCCAATAAAGAGATCAGAAATTGGTAATTTTGCCAGTTTCATACAAAATTCAAGAAAGGCCGTTTTCAAAACAGGGTCCAGAATTAACAATGCAAACATTCCTAGCACTAAAATAACATTTTCTCTGTTCATTAGTCATGTCTCCAGGTCCCTCTTTTTTTATGCTTGCTTTCAATTTTGAGTTTTTATTCACACAAAAAATAGAAGATTTACTGTTATGCAGACTACTTCATTATTGTAAAAATGGTATAAATGATATCAACGCATTTGTGCAAGCACATTAGACCAACCAGTTGACGTGATTTGTTTACTCTTGAACAATGGCAAAAATCAAACATTTCTGCTATTTTGAGCTCAATTTCAAGGTACTTTTATTCTGTAAACCATTCAAAATCATCTCCATTTATGTAATATATCTTCCATTCTATCAAATGAGACCAAGGAAACGAGAATACATCCATAAATACCATACAAAAATACACCGCAAAGTTGCTGTTTTAAACCAAAAACACAGTGGCAATTTTTTTTTCTCATTATGCACTGCATGCTGCAGGATTTTTTTTTAGACTGTGCACACTGACCACTCAGACCCATTCTCTCATATGTAGGCCTACCAGCTATCTCCTGCAAGATTGGAAGCCGCTAGAATTTTGGGGAAGTATTAGGGACTGACACTGGCTTGCAAGCCGTAATATTACGGAGCCGACAGTGAAAGGGTTAAAATATTTGTAGTCTTAATGTAGGGTGAGACATGAATAAACAAGATAAAATCAATAAATGAGAGAGAGAGAACGAGTAAATGAGAGAGGACAGAGACGTGGAGTCTGTATACAAGCAGATAAATGCATCTGGTTATGGTTGATACACATTCATTTCCATATACCATAATACAAACACCTTATACCATTCATTTCCATATACCATAATACAAACACCTTACATTGTGTACAAGTTGTATGCACATTGGTACAGCAGAATAAATAAAAAGCAACACTCCCATTCTCATGTAACACACTATTTTTAGAAGGAAAGACGCTCTGAGTGAAGGCATACAAAAGGAATAATTTTTTACGGTTACCCTCAGTAATGCTATCGGGTATGCATTTTCTTTGGTGTTGAACTATAGAAAACGTTATTCTTTCCGACACTCTGACAAGCCGGCTGGAAAAAATCTCATATTTATGTTAATTTATTCTACTGTGGGGGGTATATATATGTCATGTTTATATGTTATGTTGCGTGTTTATTATTTGATTTTGAAAAATATAGGTGGATTACTGAAAATGTCTGTATTAATGAATAGTATATGACATTTAATGCACCTCAGAGTGATTATTATTGTGTATCATTATCATCATTATTAATATAGCATCTTCAAGACTAATAAGACATTCTTAGTGATTTTAACCCATTCGGTGTCAGTGCTGTAATATTATGGCTTTGAAGCCAGTGTTGGTCCGCTAACACTACGCCAAAATTCTAGCAACTTCAAATCTTGCGGGAGAAAGGTGGTAGGCCTACATATGAGAGGATGGGTCTGTGTGGTCAGTGTGCATAGTATTAAAAATCCTGCAGCAAGCACTACATAATGAGAAAAAAAACTGACCGTGTTTTTGGTTTTAAACAGCAACTTTGTGGTGTATTTTCATATGGTATTTATGGTTGCATTTTTGTTTTCTTGGTCTCATTTGATAGAATGGAAGATATATTACAGAAATGGTTTACTGATTAAAAGTAGCTTGAAATTGAGCTCAAAGTAGCAGAAATGTTAGATTTTTGATAATGCTCAGGAGTAAACAAATCACGTCACGCATCCAATATGGGTCTAATATGCATTCATGAATGTGCTATTATTTATGCAATTACAGTATTACAATTATGCAGTAACCTGAATAACAGTAAGTCATCTATTTTTTGTGTGAATAAAAATGTAAAATGAAAAGCAAGCATAATATAAGAGGGGCCTGGAGATGTGAATAATGAACAGAGAAAATGTTATTTTAGTGACAGAAATATCAGCATTGTTAATTCTGGACCCTATTTTGAAAATGGCCTTTCTTGAATTTTGTGTGAAATAGGCCAAATAAGTAATTTCTGATCACTTTTTTGTGTAGTTAAAATAGGTAAATGGCAGTTTCTTGTATTCAGTCAATTGAATGAAAGGTGTTCTAACAAAATAGCTATGAGTTTGGTCGGGTGGAACAATGGAATTGGCCCAAAATAAGGCTCAAAGTGGGCAAAATCGCTGATGTGTAAATAATGTCAAGACCGCTAACTTCACAAAAGTGTAATTCCATAAGATTTTTAACAAGTTTCGAACTTTTGGGTTTATTACCTTGGAAAAAGATTTTCTATCATTCCATAAGAAAAAAATTTTTTTTTTTTAATTCTTTGACACTACAAGCAAGTTTGTGAGCAAGAGTCTCAACACTCAAAAGGTTAATGTGTACCTGCATGCCAGCATGGTGTGTAAGTTTATTTAGATACAGGTACACATAAGTATAATTATCAGAGTATATATAAAATAGAAAATAACTTTAAAACACTTAAAATTTTGGAAAGTTTCCAGACATAATGGAGAGATGCGGAGCTCATGGAACTCATGGAGAATGTAAACAAGCCGGGTGGCGTGTGGTGACTGTATTAGAGTCAGGGGGAGCTGTATAGCAAGTTTTGGTCATAATTTGAAATGTCCATATTAGCAGAACGCCATAAGGTGAAACACCCTAAAGCAGGTCCCTACTGTACTTTATTTAATAAGTACTTATTATCCGGAAGAATCCTTGAATGAATATGTATCCATTAAGGTGTTACTAAAAATCTGACATGGTAGGCCATGCTTTAAGATTATATCTAGGAACTTAGCCTTCAATGTATTAAACTGGTTCATATATTATAATGAGGATGAATCACTTGCATTTTATTGTTTTCTCAATTATTTTTTATAAGCTAAAAAATTATGGAGTGGACACAAATGTATGAAGAATAAGATAACATAAAGAGATATATCACACAAGTTAGAAGTGTACAATAAAGATAGTTCCATGTTATTTTTCCAACAGACACACAACTTAACAAGTTAAACAATTAAAGAACTGCCAAAAGTTTTCAATACCAATATATAAATAATGCTACCTTAATATGTTGCTTAACAAAAATAACCTATTGTTTATCAATATTTTGCAAAAAAAAAAAAAAAAAAAATGAAAGCATATTTATAGACAGCCATTTTAAACAGTGTTGATATCTAGGGCTAGTTGGGTACCTAGTTGGGTTTGGGCTGTATGGATTTTCTGCAGGTGAGTTATATCCTTGGCTTGCAGCAGAGGAAAACTGTGGCATGGAGTAGCCTGGTCGACCAAGAGTTCCATCGCTGTAAACACTACTCGATGTACTACCACCAACCACTGAAAACAAAAATAATAATTCAATAATCAACCAATATCAATACAGTATTTCCACTGGAATTACTAAGACCATGTAATTCATAATATTGTACCAACCTATCACAAGCTATGGCTTGTGCCAGATTTCTCCAGCTCTTCCTCATGGACATCAATCACTTTGATGAAAATGATCTTCAAAATCTGGCATGCATATGAATCAAAACCTTCAAATTTGCAGCTTCTAAATTCAAGAATTTCAATAATTTGCACAATTTTTCTCAAATATATCCCATGAAAAAATCTAACATTTGCAGTTTTGTTGGATATTTGCACATATCCTAGGGAACTTAGACATATAAAGGATTTTTTTTTATTTCATATTTAATATACATACTGTACAAATGTTAATTCTGTACAGGTTAATTTTACTGATTATGAAATATAAACACAGTAGACAACATCGGAGACATTTTGGGATATGCTGTACTTGATACAGATAAGTCTGAGCATACAATGTTTTTGTCTTGCATTACAAGCAGTTGGTTCATCCTGTACCTGTAAATATCTATTAATGAGTTTGGGCATAATCTTCCCCATGGCCCAGTCTCAGATGAAATCTCATAAACTGGAAATATTACAGGAACAAGAACTATTAAGAAATACTGTACTGAAAAGCAAATCTAAGAAAGAAAGTGATTGCAAGTAAAAGTTTGTAGAATTTATCTGTGGTCTTTTGTGTTCCTGATACAGAAAAAAAAAATGAAATCCTGCCAGAGTACAAACATATGATAGGCTTCCATCTCATGCTCAGATGATAGGAAAGTGGTACCTTCCTGGATGGCTGCTGACCAACCTACTACTATTTTGACCAATTATTTGGATTACTGTATTGCACTTACATGCATCATGGCTCCTATGCACATGAGTGTGCAAGGTGAATTTGTTCTTTTAAAGCAATGCATGTATTTTGATGAAACTGAGTAGTAAAATTCAATTACTGATTATGCTTGCACAAGTTGTAGTCCTAATGAGTCTATAGTATCTTATAGGTTTGTAGATGAATGGTTCAGAGAACCGACATGTTGATAAATACGGTTTATAAGCTCCTTCTCCGTATATATGCCGTATTCTATTCAAGATTGATGGACTGATCACATCAACTCAAGGTTGAGGGACTGATTACCTCATTCTCCTCCTGTTCTTCAAGATTCTCCTTTGTATTGACTGATGAAGCCACTGTGTGGCGAAACATTTCCTCAATAAAGATACCCAAGAGTTGCACACGTGTCTAATTTATCAACATGTCTGTTCTCTGAACCATTCATCTACAAACCTGTCAGACACTGCAACTTCTTGGGATCTTAATACTTGGGAATTCTTCACTTGCCTAATTCTTGGGCACGACCTACTTCCACATTGAACAAATGTGACACCACCTATGACTGCTGCACCTCTCCTGCCTACGGTTTATAAGCTCCTTCTCCGCACGTATGCCGTATTCTATTCAAGATTGATGGACTGACCACATCGACTCAAGGTTGAGGGACTGATTACCTCATTCTCCTCCTGTTCTTCAAGATTCTCCTTTGTATGGACTGATGAAGCCACTGTGTGGCGAAACGTTTCCTCAATAAAGATACCCAAGAGTTGCACATGTGTCTAATTTATCAGTATCTTATAGCAGGGAATAAGAAAGATAGATTTAGATAAGTATGATGACCAGCACAACACATGCTAAGATAATTCTGACTGAGCATAACAACAGCAGAGCATAGATGTAGAAAGGTTTTGTATAACAAGTTATTATTATACGTACAATAGCGATGTGGTGGTACAACAATATCACAAGTACCAGTGATGAATATACGTAGTTGTCTTAGTTTAGCAGGTAATTAGCCTCCATAGATTATCAAACAGGACAAGATTATCTGAGTGAATGAAAGTCATAAACAAGGTGGGATACAGACTGAATCAGGTCTTTATTGCTCATCAGACTACCTTCTACTGAAAGATGATATACCTTATACCTTTGAAGAAGAAGAAGAAGAAATTTGCTTCTGGCCTCAAGGTATCCAAAGATAGGTTGAGACATTACTGTGAACATTCCTTGGGAAAATTTATGATGAAGCCCATGCCACTTTATTATTCCTTTAACCAATTTATATTTTAAGGCAAAAATAGGGATGTAGCTGCCCATTCATTGGAATGTGAAAATGAGTATTTGCTTAACCAAAACCATTTTCAAGGTCTGGTTTCATATTTGCTATCTCCCAGCAATGAAGAAAAGACTAGACATTCAAGAAATTACCTTTAAAAATCCTCCCCATAGACAATGCTCCTGCTCGCTCAATATTAGGGTAGAAATCATGCTACTCAACATATCTCTACAGTACTGCAGCCCTTACACCCGGGAATTATTGTTGCCTTTTAAAGGCACCGTACAATACTACACCACACAACTGACCACACATTAAAAACATAATAAAATGATCAATCTGCAAAGGTGCTGGAAGGATCACACCATTGTAGCTTACATCAATATTTAGGAGGCACTCTAAATGCATGTTGAAAAAAATTGTGAATGAGGCAGTGAATGAAATTTAACAGTTTCTTCAACACTGGCAAGGAGATGAGTAAGATTGTGAATATAGCACAGCAGCTTAGAAGGGAAGGTACATATTTTGAGAATATAAGGGAGACATAGGGAATTATTATTATAATTCATGAAAAGTGCATAACTTATAAAGTCATACAGTGCAATATGGCAAACATGAAATAAATGGTAGAGGATGCAGAGGTGGAGGTACTGAGCAAAGGACATTAGTAAGAAAATAAGTCCCAGCTGATGTAGCAAATCAGTGCGAGTCAAAAGATCAAAACAGAGAGTCCACAATAAAGGTGGGACTGTCAGTAAGGAGGACAAAATTATCATGTCACATGATGTCTGAAATGAAGCTAGTGTGCTCTCTGATAAACAAGCTAATAAATTAAGGAATGTTGGAGTGTCATTACAACCTGACAATTCTCACAAGAGTGAAAGAACTGATAAATCACACAATTTTATAGTCAAAGAAGTGTTAAAGAACTCACAGAATGCCATATGGTAGGTGCATTTATCAACTATAGGTGGAAACAAGAAGTTCTTACACTGAGGTGAAGGAAGAACAAGTGCCTCAACTGAATCAACTCTTTATTTTCTCAAACTTTGTAAAAACAGAAACATAGTTACAAGAGACTCCACAGTTCAAAAGGCTGGCTATAGTTTATTATTGGAGCCTATTATTACTTCCTGTAACAGCCTTGAAAAGAAATCTTATCCATGTGAGCTAATTTACCCCTGAAGTACTCTACCATGTCCTTACTCATGTATAAATGGTAACCAGTAGCTGGTAACTGGCATTATAGTTCATATAGCCTGGACTGAACTGACCACTATGTGATGATAGTTTATCTGCCAGTAAAAATTACTCCACATAAGACTGTATTGTATAATGCATACAGTGGTACCAGCACTCTAGCAGTGGCACAGCGAAAATGTGGTGTCTAAGGACACACGTGGGGGACTAACTGGCCCAGTGACAGCCATGTGTTAGGTTATCTGAAATGAGGCTCAGAGAATTATCCTCCCTGCAGCCCAGTCTCAAACAAGGCCTCCTAGTTAGAAAGGAAGTATTACAGGATTAAACACTATTAAGAAACCAGTAAGGTATGTGTATACTTAATGTAAGAAGACAACATATGTTCATAAGACAGAAACAAATGATCAGCAATCCTGCCAGAGTACAAAGTTTAATAATATTCCCATTCCACACTGACTGGATAGTAGTACCTCCATGGATGGTTGCTGACTACCAGCCTTCTACTACTACTACCTGTAATTACCTACTTGTAGCTAAAGGAGCAGGGCTTTGCTCACAGTGACCTGCCTCTAATAATGTTTTCATCATATACTTTTTGAAAATTTCCAATGGTTGTAGCAAATGCTAGCAAGGCTGTACTAGACTCAGTGGTCTGAGTGATCGTTTTCTCAAAACTATCAATGCAAGCTGGAAGAGAACTTGATGAATTATGATAAATGAATCTGGGCAAGGACCAATATGATCCTTTAACTCTAATTTAGTGTCTCCAGCTGATTGTAAGAGATAAAAGGCCTATAGTCCTTTCACTTACTCTTAAGGTAGTGGTGGTAAATGAACATGTGAAACTATTCATTAATTAGAGCATGGCCAATATTAAACTCTATGGAGGAATATTGATCTTTTAACCCTTAAACTGTCCACACGTAGATGTACGTTCACCTGCGGCAGGCTCCAAACATAGATCAATGTTTTATTTTTCATTCCTTCAAATTTGGTGCGATAGGCCTGAGTTGCCTAGACATGAAAGAATGGGTCTGTGCACACAGGTGCGAATAAACCCCTGGCTGCCTTCAAGAGAGAGCTGGACAGATACTTAAAGTCAGTGCCGGATCAGCCGGGCTGTGGCTCGTATGTTGGACTGCGTGCGGCCAGCAGTAACAGCCTAGTTGATCAGGCCCTGATCCATCGGGAGGCCTGGTCATGGACCGGGCCGCAGGGGCGTTGATCCCCGGAATAACCTCCAGGTAACCTCCAGGTACTATGAAAAAAATCTGGGAGCACTTAGTACCTTGTGTGAGCACCAGTTCAACTGAGCACCAGCTAGAGCAAATATCATGGCAAACATCAAGGATTCACTGATGTCATGTCATATTAACACTCACATTTTAAGAGGAAAGTAAAAATAGGTTAGATAAATGCATGAGTGGGTGTGAGTTGGACCTGACTAGCTTGTGCTACTAGGTTAGATGTCGTGCTCTTTCTTTCAGTGGATGTGACCTGACTAGGTGGGTCATTGGTCTAAGCTGGGGGTTGACATGGACCTGCTTTGCATGGGCCAGTAGGCCTGCTGCAGTGTTCCTTCTTTCTTGTGTTCTTATGTATTCGGCTGGCTAGCTGGCTGGCTTTGGCTGTCTCTGTCTGTATCTGTCTATATCTCTGTCT